AATGGGGGGTACTGTTGTACTCGTGAGACATCGCTGATTACAAATATGTGCATTTTTTTGCAGTAAAACCTTAGTATTAAACCTTAGTAAACCTAACAGTATTATAACATTCACAGCTAAAATTTTATTTTCTCACATTTTTAAAATTTTTATTCATAATAAATTATGTTCCATATATGAACAGTTAATGATAAATTAAAGCCCTGTTTCTCCTGAACAAAATTATATATAATAAGTGTGGGTGCACTTAATGTGACAGCGGTGAATTACGGTTGAACAGACATACAGCGCAAATTCCAGTTTTTGTTTACGTTTTGTTTTGATCAGAACGTGCACTATTGACTCCATCCTAAAGGGGTCAAATGACTAAACCTGTGTAACTTTTTATGGATGATTGTATATATAAAATTATTTTATTGTTTAACTTATTTTTATTATTTCCCCACCATTTGAATTTAATGAAAAATGTTATTAATAATATTATAGACTAATTGTTACTAATCTTATTTATTATCAATATGTTTATTATTATTATTATTATTATTATTATTGTTATTATTATTATTATTATTATTATTATTATTATTATCACATTGTATGAATATATATTTGAAAAACCCAATAAAAACATTTGAAAGATGATGTCCTTTGTTGGTGACTTCAGTACACATTCCAAAGCGATAGGTACTATTTTGAGAAAATATTGACACATTCTGTAATCTCCATTGTGGTGTTAGTTGGATCCTCAGCTTGATAAAGACACTGCATGTGTTGAATAGTTGCTGCTTCAACTTAATTGGAATAAATCTTCATTTGGTTATGTTGTAGTGCTGCGGATGCATTATTCTTTTTACTTTGGGATTATAATTAGTACTTTACCTGTTACGGCCACTCATCTCTTACAAGTTACAGAGAGGCCAACATCCCCAGCACACTGTTTGGTGGCTCAGCACCATGGCAAAATCATAGTCAGAGGCTCTCTCATCCACTAGGCAATTAGCAGGGCCTCACCTTACCCTGGTATAGCTTATTTATTTGCCACTTGGCACTAAGTAAGTCGCCAGCAGATTTAGGGTTGCATGCTTGAAAAGATCTGTTACAATTTGTTACAAATTTAATTTGTTTTAGTATGTCTCATGCTCGGAACAGGAAGATAATTTCTCCCTCCCCAGCACTCCTGCAAGACCCTGCCTCCCAGCCAGACCAAGGACACAGACTGAGAACCAGCTCTATGTGATCCTGGACCATGTAAAAAATTTCAGCTAACTGAGGCATAGGGACATACCTCTCTCAGCTACAGCAAGATAGGCTGAACTTTATAAACTCATGATCTCAAATTCCAACAATCACTGGCCAGGGACCAGCAAGGAGGTGGTACAGACAGTTTGGCAGAAATGCATGCCATGATGACCTCGATACTCTCCTCCATTAAACCTATAAATCATAGACTGGACAAGTTGGAATCAAATAATTCTGGAATTCATAATCCTCCCATTGATTAATCTGCTTTGTACCCTGTTCATACTGCCTCTCACGGTAACAACACAACCAATTTACTTGTCACAGATTTCCTTCACCCATGTTATCACACTTGCATATTTATTTATCCCTACTATTAGGAACAACATTCTGTAAGGCAAGAATGTTAATTTTGTTTCATTATTAACTGTCAAACAAGACCTGGTAGAAAATAAAGCATACTGTTCGTAGTCCAAAAATCCAGAGACCCCAGACTAAATAAGATACTGACAGTATGTCATATAGGCTAGGACCTCGGGGGTCACTGTTTATTTCATTGTAAGCTATGAATTTGCAGCATTAATGTATGACTAATAGTTACTATTACTGTTTAAATGTCAAAATTACAAAAAATAAAGAATGTAAAAAAAAAAAAAAGATACTGATAATACCAGAGTCTGTACCCGCTTTCTGTCTAAGCACGTCATTTGTTCCACTTCCCCCCAGCATAGAGAAAAACTGTATTTTTTTACACAAATTGGTAGACTTGGAACTTGGAAGTATGGTGGCTATATATTTTATGACTATCATAAATCCTTCTCAGCCAATGCAGCGGCAGCCTTGGTGCAATTTAATATACACACCAGGAGCCAACTAGATATGGAATTATCCTGCTGCCATTTTTAGGGCACTGTCAGATCTTTTTGAAACAAAGACTAACTTGATAATAAAAACAGCTATATATATATATATATATATATATATATATATACATAGCATTCTATGGTTTGTTACACCCAAACAAATTTACCATAGAAAAGTCTATGGGTGCATCACAGTGCCTCAGAATAGATGATCTTAAAAAATCAGGGGATCATTATACACTTGCCCTGCGACAGTCGGAAACAATTAAAATGTGACCACCTACAGACATACACCTGTATACTATAGACAATAAATGGTGACCATGGTGATACTTGATCAATTTTGCCATTTACAGGTCATCTTGGGAAGATACCTCTGTTAATGTTACATGGTAACCTACTCACAAAATCTAAATTTATCTTGTACGTTAGGACACTATTTGTAAAACATGGCTGTGACCCTTCATTGTTTTCAGGTCATTCATTTAGATAAGGTGCTGCCTCAGCAGGATCTAGTAAGAAAGCCCCTGTACACATGATTAAAAGACTAGAACAATGGAAATCTAACTCATATAGCAGCTCTGACAAGCATGTTATGTAATGTTATATATATATTAGTGTTGCATTGTTAAACCTTTATGCCCTCTTTTTTTACAGGTCTACCTAAACGTCGGTTTTAACACACCACAACTCATTTTCACCAGAACCGACTGACTCTCTTTTTTTGCCTTTTCCCCTGACCACAAATGTTAAGGCAGAGCCTGCAGTTGTGGGAAGGAATACCCGGCTTATTTAGTCAAGGTTATTCCCTCTAATGGGTCGTATTGTATGTTTCATCCCACTCACCTTTACCTTTACCTCTTGGTGGGCCCTTTGTGTTTGTGTTTGTAAATGTATCTGTGTGTGTTTAATAATATACTTAATTTGAGATCTTTAAATATGTCAATGCCGCATAATAATACCAAATTAGTGCGTTACCCACTAAACTGCGGAAAGGTGAAATTTAAGAAAAGGGTTTTTCTTATGTTAAGGATATCAAGTTAAAGTGGTATCTACTATTAATGTTTGCATTTATTCAGTTTGCTAACAAAACACACAAAAAACTAGACTCAAAAGCACAGTGTTTAACATTTAACAGTTCAAATTCTACAAATAAAAATGTACATTTCACATCAGTACCATATTAGGGAATTATGCCCCTAAAAATATTACACAGCGCATATTTATTTTTCTTTACTTGTCAGAGCAAACACAAATCACTGAATTTGCAATGGTGATGATAGGGCAGAGTTTAAACTGCGTGTAATTAAATTAGTTTGTGGATTGGGGACCTGTATAGAACTTAATGAATATAATTTACTACTAAATGTGATATCTGGGACAAAATGTACTGCGAGACAACATTATCATGTTACAGTGCTTTGGCAGTAAAATTCTATTAAAACATAACTCAACTATTGGAATAAAAAGAACAGTGTATTTATAGTATATTACTATGCTCACATCATTTTCTGCACCACTATATATTCTCAGCAACGGTTTTATAGTAAGCAACAAATTGTATATGTGGATCCATCGCTATGTCTGTCTTCTTCATGGACCTTCTGGTGCTCAACTAGGAAGAGAATGAATCTGAAATAAACCGTTGTCTACTTGTCTCGATTCTCAGAAACTCATGTACATTTCATTCATTGATATAGAAATCTCTGGCATGTATGTATAATGCCTCTGCAGATTATATATAATTAAATAAATAAAGTGTAGGAAACCCTTGGTTAGAATGTTTGGGGGTTTTTTTGCTTTCAGTTTTCCTTACGTTATGTACATCTTATGATGCCACTTGCTTTTATATATTATCTTTTCTTTTTTGTGGTGGATCTCGGTACCTGAGCATCTTTTTAATTTTGTCCTCCTCTGTCCATCATGTCTGCAATTTGCTCTTCTGTGAATGGATTGTGGGTAAAGTAGTTTAGCAACTAAAAATGAACTTTGTTTAAGCTTTGCTTATTATCAAAGATCAAGTTTTGAGTAAGAAAAAATAGTACCTATTACTCCTTATTTTTATTATAAAATAAATAAATAAAAACAAGGTGAAAAAAGGGACCTAAATGATTTATTTAAAAACAATACCTGCAAAGTGTTGATTTATTTATTTTACTGCAACAAAAGTGTTGCAGTAAGGGTGGCTGCTTTTATTAATTTAGACCACTGGTTCTCATTACTTTTTCACAATAGAGAAGATTATCTTTGTTGTTTGCATTTCACTTGCCTGAATATGAGGTCACAGATTAGAAATAAATGATCAAACATGCAAAAAATAATAATGTTTAAAGTGAGGAATCTTCTTAGATAAGAATGGAATTTTCCTGCTGATTGCTCTGTATTTAGAACATTGTCCCACAATTAGTCGTTATAATTAGCCCATTTGCTTGTTTCCTCAAAATTTGTAGCAGAACAAAACTACTGGTCCTTTTTTGTTCTTACTTGATTTGTGATCAATTTTAAAATTTCAAATTCCTCAGCACTGTAAAATATTTCTCTTCCAAACACGTATTAGCGTGTTCAATTCTCCACGTCTGCCTGATGTACCTTATAAAATAATAAAAGCAACAAAAGGCAAAATGTATTTATAGCAGCTGGTGGTGTTGATTTTTTTAACCCCAGTGTTGCAGGTATAAGATTTTAAGAAAACCATGCCTTTTTAGAAGCAGACCGATTAGGTATTTCTTTTTCTACCTTGCAAACCTGAAATGAATCAGTTGGTTTCTATAGAAAAGAAAGCACACAATGAAGACATAAATTATGTTTATTAATAAAATGGGTAGAACGTGCCTTAAGGGGGGGTGCCTTGATTATAGCAATTAACGCGGCCAGTGCTAGGAAGGTGTGTTCGTTGATGACAGGTTCTGAATATTTCATTATTCACGTCAAGGAGGAAAGAAATTCCTATAATCGCTGCCATTCCATGTGTAATCATCTTCATTTTGGCAGCAGTAGAATGGGAAACGCTTCTCAGAGGCATGTCAAGGGCAGAGCTTTTGGAAGCTCTAACTTCCGACTCAATATAATAATTACCCCTAGAGAGTATTCTTCCACTGTAAATTATCATGTGTAATGCTATAAATTGTTCTATCCTTCACTTGAAAAAGAATCCTGTAGGCTTAATATTTATTAGGTGGGAACTTATATAGGTTCCAACAATACCCGGAAACAGCCATTTGTAATGAGCAAGAGTTTCCATACAGGTGCTCCAAACATGTCTAATATTCTTCCTTTGTTTTTTTTTAATTTATTTTGCATGTAGGCCACGATATATAAAAAAGATGAATGTAATAATTAAAAGTTACAGGCCTGGTGAGTGGCTTCATGGGTGGCAGGGTGGAGAGATATTTAAATAAAGGCCAAGAAGATACCCTCAGTCTTGTATTATAAAGTGCCTCCAACAGGACCCAGGAGTTGCTCAGTTTCCTGGGCCATATATAAAATATATTATGGTATTGGTGCAGCATATGACCATTTTAATGGACCTTGTTAGTTATGGCTCAACCTGCTCTCCGTAGCATCTCCATAGATCCACTTCCTGCAAATTACTCACCCTTCCATGTTACAGCACGGAAGCAAGTCATGCAGACTTCTCATTTATAGTTCTGCAACTGTGGAATTACCTACAAGGAAAAATAAAATATTCTACAAGTTCAGAAAGGAACTTTTCCCCTCTGTTTTCAATCAAAATAAACATGTAACTTCTGCTAATGGTTATCTATATTCTGTACATGTTAAATATGTAATGTAAGTAGATGGCATTTTCTGAGAGATCCAGGACATACTTATAAACTAGGCAAATCTATTCTTCCTACGGAAACATCTTCAAACATTTAACACTATCTAAAAAGTAAATTCCACGCAACCAGTATCATTTTATGCTCAGGCACGTTAACAACAGCCAACAGACAGGTAATTCTTAGTAGTGAGGATCATATACAGAAATGTACATATATCACATGCATTTTTAGATGTATGGTTTTGATTGAAAGCAAAAACACAGTATGATGGCTAAACACATTTTACTTTTTCCTTTTCGATTTTTAAAAAAAGAAAAAAAAAAAAAACACACGTACGAGTACACTTAGCATTAAAAAAAAAATCTATTTTTAGATTTCCATTGCTTGTAATTAAATTTAAATAGCAACACGTTGGTTTTAAATCTGAAGTTTTAATGTTGTTTAATACGGCAAATCTGGAATGTGATATAGCCATAGGAATTACATTCTGAAAGTCACCAAATAAAGAGGAATCATTATGATAGCTTAATGCAAGCTGCATTTTCTGCTCAAGTTGATTACATCAAAGGCATGCTCCCTGCCGTGACTATCAAAATAGAAACAATACATTCTTCATTTATCTACTTACCAACTTGCTTGTGTAGAGTTGCTGGAATAGTTTCATGTTTATGGTCTGTATAATTATTTTGAGGGTTACTGTATACCGTGTTCAATAAACTAGAGACAGAAATAGCTACCAACAATCAATTTAATTAAAAAGTATGTAAAGCCCAGTTATTGTCTAGAGTGGAGAATCTCAAAATTGACAGACAAGTACACCCAACAGTTCTGGAGTTGGATATCTCCAGACATGAGCTTTTTTTCATTCTTTGACTCGTTTTACAATACAAAGATGCTATGCATATAAGTACATGCATATACATTGATTGGAGAGTATGTTTCTTCACTGTCTCGTGAAATGTAGGTTCCCATTTTCAGTGTTGATCTTCTCCCTGTGGCATGAAAGAAATGAAGTCCATGGCAATACACTTTGACATTTAGAAAACCTCCACAAAAGGATAATTGAAACTTGGTTCTAGATCAATGTGGCTTAACTCCTGGTCTCAATAACCATTGTAAATTAAGGTTTTAACAAGCATACAGTTACACTAGAAAACCACTAAATGCACTAAAACTTAGTTTCTTTTACGACTCTGGGTATTTTCAATGTATGAACTATTATCTGTTTTTTGAAGCTTGAAGTGTAGAGATATTTTGACATTTTTTTTAATATGGGGTGTCCTGTAGTTTACAATCAGTATACTGGCTGTTTGTAGTCCCTAAAAATATGTATGCAGCATGATAAAGTGTTTGATATCAAAAAGTATGTTGGAGGCCATACAAAAGTTCTTCAGGAGGTTACAGTTAAGTACACAATAATTCTACAATTGGAAAGTTCTTTACTGCAGCACACATATCCTAATCTTAGAATATCACCCATTTTATGAAAAATAAAACTTTAATAATTGCTACTATTTTGAACTTATAAAATAAAAATACATAATTAGTTCACCATTAACAAGAATCACTTGGAGAAGTAAAAAAATAAAAAAAACATAAAAAGTTAAATTTTGCAAGCATTACAAAATGGACACAATTTACAACATTAAATAACAATAGATTTCAAAAAGATTTCATTGTCATAGAATTAAAAAAGTTTGTCCTCTCAAGTCTTCTACAAGACTATTTGGTCACCTTCAAACCATGGTTTCTTGAATGGGTCGTGATGTACACTGGAAAATAAAATGTGACTTCATCGCCGCTGAACTGTCTTGCTTTGGATTTACAAAGCTCTCCATCTGGATCCCAAAGACGAAGTTACAACTCTTCTTCAGGGCGATGCTCGAGTTTGGCTGCCACCATGAGTAAAGTCCTCAGATTCGCCTCCTTTGCTTTCTCCTGCCCGGCTGAAATAAGATGCTATAACTTATCACCTGGTAGAACCTGAAAGCATAGAAAATATCTTCAAGGTACATTTTTCATAAAAACACAGTTTTTTGTACTGGTCTAATTTGAATGCAGGACTTAAATTGATGTGAAGATCAGTGGGTTTAGAGCAGGGGTTCTCAACCCAGTCCTCAAGGACCCCGGAACTGTCCAGGATTTAGGGATTACTCTGCTGTGTCTAATGTGTTTTGGGGTGGGAGGAAGGGGAACAAACACTTGGACACAACAGGGTAATCCCTAAATCCTGGACTGGTAGGGGGTCCTTGAGGATTGGGTTGAGGACCCTTAGAGGGATCTTCAAAACAAAAGAATATATATATATTAGATTAGGTGAGCAGAGGGAAAAACATCCCAACTGGAGTATTTTCTCATTTATATATTATTATAAGTGCCCTAGATCTCATCCTGTATTACATTTTTGTTCCTAGAGAAGGATTGTATTCTGCTTTAAAACATTCCATAAAATAATAAGTTAAATCCAGTTGAACAGCATATCCCTGAATGAAAACCAGCTAACTGATATTAAAGGACATACTCGTTTTCCTGGCTCTAGAGGGTCCTTGGGTCCCCCTCACCCTCTGGGTCCCCACCCCCGCCGGGCTCTAGGCGGAGGAAGGGGTTAAACACTTACCTTTTTTCCAGAGCCAGGCTCCCTCGGCGCTGGGGACTCTCCTCCTCCTTTCCCGTCATTGGCTGAATGCGCATACGCAGCATGAGCCGCGCGCGCATTCAGCCAGTCTCATAGGAAAGCATTCTCAATGCTTTCCTATGGACACTGGTGTCTTCTCACTGTGAAAATCACAATGAGAAGCGCGGAACCGCCTCTAGCGACTGTCAATGAGACAGCCACTAGAGGCTGGATTAACCCATTTGTAAACATACATGTTTACAGCAGAAAGGGTTAATCCTAGTGGTACCTGGCACCCAGACGACTTCATTAAGCTGAAGTGGTCTGGGTGCCTATAGTGGTCCTTTAAGAAGTTGCTGACTGACTTTTGTCTTATGTCTGGAATATATGAATACATGTATTACCTTTATTATATGACATGTGATATTGCATTTGTTGAGGTAGACATACATACATATAGGCAAATGCTTCTTGTTGTTTTTTTTGTTTTTGTTTTTTGATATGTACATTTTCTTTATTTTTTTCTACGTTTGGTCCTTGATGGACTTTCACTAAATAATATTCCATCAAATAAACTAATATGTTTCTATGTGCAATATGGTATGTTATATGTTGATAGTCTACTTAGAATTAAATACACCTGCTTTTAGCATTAGAGGCAGCTGAACGCTTAAAGAAACACTCCAAGCACCATAACCACTACAACATACAGTAGAGGTTAAAGGACCAACTGCTATGTTTATATTAGTGTTAATCCAGCCTCTAAAGCCTCTAGTGGCTGTCTCATTGACAGCCGCTAGAGGCGTTTGCGTGCTTCTCACTGTGAAAATCACAGTGAGAAGATGCCAGCGTCCATAGGAAAGCTCCTGCCACGCATGCGCATTCAGCCGAAGAGGAGGATCGGAGGCGGAGAGGAGGAGGAGAGCTCCCCGCCCGGCGCTGGAGAAAGAGGTAAGTTTAAGGCTCTCCCCAGAGCCCGGCGGGAGGGGGTTCCTGAGGGTGGGGGCACCATCAGGGCACTATAGGGCCAGGAAAACGAGTATGTTTTCCTGGCACTATAGTGGTCCTTTAAGATGCCTGTAGTGCCCCTGTTTTAAATGGTTTCAGTTCTTACTCGGGATTTACCAGACTCTCCTCTCCACCTACACTACTGACAATGGAGAGTCAGACATTCCTAAAAAAGCATCAGCTGATTGCTTTCAATTAGTAAGTTAAGTTCAGAGAGTCTGGCACTCCATATGACAAAGTAGATGCAGCTGAATAAAACCCAGTGTTGCAGAGCTTAAATCACTGGTTGAGAGCAATCAGTTGATGCATTTTTAGGAACATCTGGCTCTCCATTGTCAGTAGTGGAGGTGGAGAGGAGAGTCTGGTGAATTCCAAGTAAAATCTTTGACATTTATTTGAGTAATTAATTGCTTAATTCAGACCAGTCATCTTTTTATTTTTTTTTTTTTTTAATTAATGTTTATATGTAGTAAGTTTAGTAAAGCGATGTTATGCTTTTTATGCAAACTACCCTCTTTCCAAGTTCTGAATCAAGCTCATTAAAGGGAAACTATTATTGTAACAATAATATAATTTTTTTCCTTTAATGCATTTACTTGCTTAATTTTGATCCCTAGGACTCCCTTTTATGTTAAAAACTTAATTTAAATATGCCTTTACATAACTTAATTCCAATGCTGAGACTCATCCCCTGTATCCACTTCCCTTTCCGTCTTCTCTCATTTTCGACTTCTCATAGAGAATAATTGAATCCAGTGCTTCCCTAGGAGAAGCACCAGAGGACGTTCAACGTCCTCATGCAATGTGTAAAGACGTTGAACGTCAAAGAACTGAGTCTGAGTTGGTTGTGGGTGAGA